AATACGTGCACATCAGGATAGCTTTCTATAACTCTCAGGTAATTTAGAATTTACGGTAAATGCTGTTTATTCGTACTTCTGTATCTCAACCATCATTTCTTCATCATCGATAGTATCCGAAGAATTTATGATTTCGGAATTTGTTGGAATAAACTTCAATGAGACATTCATATAATTATTCAAATTTTAAATCTTTTCCCACTCGAATATTCAAGGTTCAAGGATCGCACCGTCGCACAAGCACGGTTCTGAAGAACTTTGAGCTAGCATCGAGTAAGTTTGAAAGCCAGTGGATATCATTTCTCGACAAAAGTTTGCTCTTCTTCTCAGTGGACCACGCAAAACGCGCTCAGTGCCGAAAAAGTTCGAGCTAGTGCGACGAGTGGAAAACGCAATTAAATTCAAATGTTATAGTTCTTAGTTCCACGCTTTGACTAAATAACAATAGATATACATCACCGAATACGGATAAATGAATGAAATCGCCAATGATGGGGATCGATCGATCGATCGGGGTGGACAGGGACCTTTTGGGAAGAATTTAATTCAATGTTGACAGTGTTCAGCCCACAGACTGAATAACAAAATATATACACCCTAATTCATTCATGTATTAATAATAAGTATACGCCAACTACCCTAAACGCGAAAACGAATAAATGAATGGAATCGGGAATGGTGGGAATTGATATCATTGCCAGAACATTGTTATTTTTCATAGATATATTTTAAATACAGAGTGACACATTGGAAAACGGGCCACTCTCATAGATTTTTTATTTATGAACCGAGTTTGATGATTTTTTTTTTCAATGTGGAGGGCGAAAAGGTGTATTTTGGTTAAGTGGCGTCTACTAGGGCCTACTGTATCTCACCGGGCCGTAGTCTATCCCCTCCCTCTCGACGTTGACGTCACACTAGTAGGTTGAGATTTCACATCAGTCCGTACTGGTACGTTCGTAATTGATAGGCTATAGCTCATTTACTATACATTTTAGAAGCACACTCAATCGAGACGAAATGATCCCCAACAAATTCCTCATCTTTTGGTGAAAAAATGAATCCAATAGGATGAATCAATACCGAGTTATGGCGTTGTAACGAAATTCCATTTTATTGAAAATCAGGACGTTGTACTACAGAATACTATTTTTTGCAAATTTGGAATTGGAATAAGATAAAACTAACTCAATATATCAAACTACGATAATGAATCAATTGAATAGTGAAAAAATTGTAGAGTTACCTACAATGAGTCCGAAAGAAATTAAATATAAAGAGCGCGTAAAAAATGGGCCGTTATACCTACCTACCCAAATTTCGCTGTATTACGATTTCGCGGTAATTCCTTGGACCTGTAAAGGGCGATATACTTTTCATTACTCATTTTATTTCTAAATGGCGTATGGTTCAGACCAACAACTAATATTGGTGTCTGAAAAATTCGAAACAATATTTCTACAATGTAAGTCACAACATAAAGTTTTGGAGAATTTAGCAGAGAAAATCTCAATTATTCCGAGAATCGATGTTGCAAAACAGAAATTTCACTAAACTTTCAGGATGAGATATAGTTCAGATTTCAATTTTTAGTTTGTGATGAAGATGATGTATATATATATTTTTTGTTGTTATTGTATTTCATTTTGTGATATCTATCAATTTTTTTTATTTTGTTATGTCGATCATTTTTAGAGTTTATTTTGTTTGGTTTTGTTTGTGTATAAGGAGTCAACGTTTTTTTTTCATTTTTTCCTTATTCATTCATATATCGTTTTTCTGGGTATTTTGTTATTCAGTTCATTATATTCATTTTTATATCTCTCATTGTTGAGATACATATTTTTTCAATTATTTTGGTTAGGTTATGTTCATATGAACTCCACATATTTTGTTCTTTTTAATTTTGATAGTTTGCAAATATATCCAAATCAAATTTTTTTCATGAATTTAACGTAATCATTCAAATATATACTCTTCAGCAGAAAATAATTGATACCGAATAGGCGTTTTTGTGTAATAACACACTGGAGTGATGGGATTTCTAACGTCATCAAAGTGCGTCCTGATCATCTTTAGAGATAAACGCTGCTAAAACCCTTCGAGATAAAGTGGATGTGTATTACACCGATTTGTAGGCAATCAAATTTCCTACAAAAAAGTCAGTAACAGCATATATCCATAGTTGATAGGATTAGCATGGGAGGCGTCCGAACTTTTTGCACTATTCTGTAATGAACACCTGAATCATCGTTCTACTTGAATTGAAATATCGGTTTGTTGTTGGTTCTTGGGAATTTTGAAAAAAAACTCAGTCAATCTAGATACTATGCGAAATATTTTCATGATTGAATCATTTCTGTGAATTGAATATTGGAATTTTGGTAGCTGTTTGAAAAAGGACAATTCTGAATGGCGTCAATTAATTTTGATATGCCATATTTCTGAAATTAATGATCGTAAATCAGTGAAATTTGATCCATCTTCTGGAGAATTCTTTTCTGTACATATTTGACCTCTTGATATTTTTTGCTAACTGTGACCGTTTTCCCGAGGTAAATCAATGAAACGGGAGAGACAATTTCCACTGCGTCGATTTTGTCCCTACTAGTGTGACGTCACGAAAGCGATGCTCCGGCCCGGTGAGATAGAGTAGGCCCTGCGTCTACTCTCTTCAAAAAACCTAGTTGTAGTTGTATATTCAATTTACGCATTTTTGGAGATTTCGCGTTTTAACAATTGTTGAGGCTGATTTTTTTTTCATAAAAATTGGTGCAGATCTATTTCAGAGGATGCCACCAGGGCATCAAGGAACGCCTTTCGCCCCTCCACAGGAATCACTCAAACCCCTATTCCATTTTGATCATTTTTAATTATAGCATCGTCATCCGCTAGAATAAAAAATACGATAAAAAAGTCTTGTCCTTATTGTGGATAAAAAAAATGAGAAAAATGATTCGGTAACACGATATTTAGGTGGTAAACTTGATATATATGTTTTACGTTTGACAGAAACCCGGAAAGGCCAACTGGGGTTCAATGATGAACCGTAGCGTGTTTCGTGATAAATGTTATTCCACCACCTAATGAATAAGCTCTACACACAAGAACTACACAGTCACCTAGCTACCTACAAAATACCTTTTGTTGGGAATCTCCAATTATTATTTCTTTGTCAATATAACAAATTTTAGTTCGGCCATAACTCGAATAATAATAATATAGCTAATTATGTTTCCTCATTACTCACGAAATGGATTCAATTCTCAATTTTTGAAATGGATACATTAGAAAATACGTTGAGACAGCAGTTTAGTGAGTATCCATGAGGCTTCATCAATTGCTCTCGGTCTGCTAACAATCATTTAACTTTTATCGCAGTTTGGTTCCAATTGAAAAAATTGGTACACGTGCCTTACATAACGTATACTGATTTTGAAGATTCCCAGCAAAAATAAAGTATTGAACTAAATCTCATAACTGAGAGATCTAGGAAGAACAGAGTTGTCTCAATTGTCAGTAGGAGCGAGACAGTACTGTTTCGGCCACCAGGCCTCATCAACCGCGCTCGGTCTGCTGACAACTGGGCAACTCTACATTTCAAGTATATCACTCCGTTGGGGACGCAGAGTACATGATGACGAAGTCATGTTATTGCCATCTAGGGGCGTTAACTCTAAGGTAGGACCTTTCGATCATGTGATACACAGCATGACACTGCTATCTATAGTCAATATGTGGACACCCTTACGTATTCATATTACAGAGTGATACTACAAGTCCAACACTCTGCTGACAGATGGCACTACCTGAACACTTGAGTAGAAGATCTAGTTCAATGAATAGGAGTGGTGGATTTTTCACCAAAGTAGTCATGTAGTGCCATTTGTCAGCAGAGTGTTTTACTTGTATCAGCACTGTGTAATGTGTAGACGTAAGGGTCTTCACATGTTGACTATAGATGGTATACCCATGCTGATGCTGTGTATGACGTGATCGAATGGTCCTACCTTAGACATAACGCCACTAGAGATGCCGATAACATGACTTCATCATCATTCAAAAATATCTACATTTTACATTTTACATTTGACTAAAGCCTCAGCCACAGAAAATCCACGTGTTACACAACCACTATCCAGCACACATTACATCCCTGGTAGGTTGTTGTGATGTCTCAGTTGGAATTTGGAAATGCAATAATATTTTATCATTATCTAGATTTATTTTTCTATATGACACTCATATCATATGTCACACTCCCAAAAATGCCTCGAAGTCTATGCGATGAACTCTGAGACGTCCCTATGATGTGTTTATGCGATGAAAAGAAGACATTGTGATGTAGCAGGTGCGCAAACGCAAGGATATGACAGAGACGCGCACTCATTCATGTGAGAAATCATCTTCAGAAATGAAGAAGCAGCTCCAGATTTATAATATTCAAAAATTGAAATTGTTTCCAAGGTTGATCGGTGATATTCATAATAACAGACATCTCTCGTTATCGAACGTTATTCACACGAGGACAGCATCTGAAAATTCTGCGGGGAACATCCAGACACACGACATATACTGGGATCCGAGACTGTGGGAGAAATACCAAGAACAAAGATGGACAAGACAAGAACATATCGAGAAAATGTTGATATAGCAAAAGTAAAAAGTATATGGGGCACAATAAATCAGGTCGCAGCGCATCTGTCACCATCCATATCTACTAACGCCAACATCTGTTATCCATAATGAATCATGCAAGTCCAAGTATACTCTCTTCCACTGGACATCACAACTGTTACATACCTACTCCGAATGTTATATCTACTGTATATCACACTGGCGTGATGAAGTAATTATGCAGTGATATCTCAAAGCTGTCAAGATGGATGTGTTTGCAGGATAAGAACGATCAACTGATCGTGGACGACTTTTCTGTGACTGAGGCTTTATATTATATGATTTATCGATATCCACATTCCAGTGGATCGTAAATATTTTACCTGTTCGGAAGAGTTGGTTATGAAGGTTTGGTTGTCGATGGACAGGTCACAAGCCGTCGGAGCTTCTTCGCAACCCAGTTCGTTCAAGGCACTCCTGATCAGCTCAGTCTGCTTGAGCATCTTCCTCTCCTGGCATTTCAGTTCGTTTATTTCTTTCCGCGAGATATCTACACTTGCAGTCGATAGTCTGAAATACATAAAGAAAAGTTCACACATTTGTTATCTCGGCTGATGACTGCAAGTCATTTTTTCTGTCATGCGTTTTGTAAACGCAGTGAACTGTATAGACGATTCAAAATGAGCGATACGCCCTCTTGCAGATATTCGAGTTAACCAATGAAAAGTACATTGAATGTTTGTTTACAATCAAGATTTAATGCATTTTATCGAAAGTTTAGTAGTCATTCTGATATTTTTCGAGTTTGAATTCTTCAGTAGAGTATCCTGAATCAATATTGCTTGGTTTCACATGTTATTCATGAACGTATTCTGCAATTCACAGAAAATTATGATTTCAATCAGTGTATAATTGAAAGATATTCTTTATTGATTTCAGTTGCATTTCATTACCAGAAGTGGACTTACAGAAGGAATTTGAAAAAATGAAATCCTTACTCAAAAGCAAAGCACATCATATGTTCAAATTTTTTTATTTGGGGTAGATAAATTATTCGCCCATACATCCAGCTTTGAGGACTCTTTCTCTTTCATATAAGCCCATGTATGTAAGTATAGATGATTCGACTACAATATATACATCTCAAATACCCACTCTGTGAACTTCAACTTCATATTCACTCCACTTATTTTGCAATATTTATTTCACTACTGAATGGGCACGACATGCAAACTAACCTCAAATTGGAACATTTATATTCGATGTAGAGAAACACACTTTATTGAACAAAAAATTGCTGAAAAGCTCTCGATTCACAAGAGTACACAAATAAACAGTCAAAAGTGAACTTTCTTTTGCTCAAATCAGTACCAAAAAATCTAAACAATACACACAAGCATAATGAACCATTTCAATACAATGTACTTTTATATAGTTCACAACCGGTCACTTTGGCGCGATGATCTTGAATTCAGTTGCCCATACACATTACACATGTAGCTGGAAAGGACGACGATGTAAAAGAAAACAGGATATTAAGTAGGTAACTCCCAGCTGTGGTATTCTCATCTCTTTCTGATGCATTGGATTCAATAGCAGAAAAAGTTAACATTGAAAAATGTTCCTTTATTGACCTTCTATTTTTTTTTCACATGATTTCAGGAAGTGGACGTATGTTAAAGAGAACATATTATTTGTAAACATGATCTTTCAAATGATATAATTCAAATTGTGCATGATGATCCTCTTTCTCTAATGAATGAGATTCAGTTGCAAATAGATTCAACTATTTCCCTATTTTCATCGTTCTATATTTCATCGAATGTTGAAAATGAATATTGAATAAATGATACGTTTCATGGAACATAAATGATGGATTACGAAGATATCTCCAATATTTTCAATGAATTGTCATTCTTCAATGAATTCCATGAACATGAAAATATTTTCTGTAGTTTTATTTGAAATGAACAGCTCGTGATTCATTGTTTCTTGATATTTTAACAACATGTCAACTTACTGAAACAATACTATGCATATCATTAATACCTGTATTTGAATACGTAATCATTGATATGCAAAACACATTTGAGTTGATTTCAAAAATTCAACTGATTGTTTTTCTCGTAAAAATTGAATGATATGCATATGACAATGATGTTTGGGAATTATTTCGTTCTAAAATTGTTCTATCCGTCTTCGGCTGTCCCCTTTTACGAGCAACCCTCAGAAGTCTTCGAGAGACTTGTTCCAGCAAGGAATGACGGGGGCCTCACCTTTTAACGTGTGATCCCAAACACTTTCTTAGACCATCAGAAACATTATTTCTGGAGCGGGGAATTGAACCGACACCGGCAAGCGAACGCGGATTAGAATACTGACGCATCTACCACGCGGCTATCTGGCCACCAAGCTTCGAAAATTCAAGTCCCAGACAACACATGTGTGTCCCATGGATGTCCATTATGTGTCCATTAGGACCGGGATGTCCATGGACATCCGTTGGATATTTATTTTGTAGATGTGGGTGTACAGCCAATGAATGTCCATGGTGTCCAGACATGGAGGTCCATTGGCTGTTAATTGGACATCATTGTATTATCTAGGGTGGGGAGTATCATAAAGTGATATGGAATAGTTGATGAAGCAGACAAGATAGCATCGTCGAATAGACCACCCTGACCGTAACCACCGATACAACAAGGCCTGCATGCTCCGTGGGTGACGTCACTTAGTGAGGCCTAACCAGCGGCTCGAATCGACAAGCGCTATAAGGCGACCGCGTATTTCGATTTTAGTTTTAGATCATCATTGAGCCGATTTTGCCGTGTTTTGAAGGGCTTCCGGTTAAAAAAGAATGCCAGTCGTCAACTGAGCCCTTCTTCGCACCCCATTCGATTTTATTATGGAAAAACGAAGTTTTCAAGCAAAAACCAGGATAAAACACAAATATCCACCTACAGCAACCCATTCGAATTGAATATATTGGCAAAAATTGTGGTGAAGGTAAACTTCACACCTACTTATACAGGGCCCGCAGAACATAAACTTATTTATATAGAAAATTCAACAGGAAATATGATTTTTATGGCGAGTTTTCCATATTTAGTGAACAAGCATTCCAGATGACGACCATTTAATCAATAGTCAATCAAAATACGAGATGTCAAATGTCAATAGATTGCTTTCGAATGACATTACACACGCCATTATTTTGAATGATATTCTTCCTTCTTTTCACTAAATATGGATTAATCTCAAGAAAATCATATTTATAGTTGAATTATATATAAATTGTCCAATATGATGAAAAACGAAGGGAAATTTGTTCTAAATGCCATCCAGAAGACAGGTGAAAAATAAGGTGAAATTTGGAACTTTTTAGTCAAATATCTTCATGATAAATATCATCATAAATGCAGTTTTACCTTTTTAAGTAGAGTGTTTGTAGTTCATATTAATATGATAGTTGCAATTTGATAATTGGAATGCATTCATTGCCACGAGGCAAATGACCGTTTTCAGAAAGAAATTTGAGAATGAGAATAAAAAATGCCCGTTTATTATGAACATTCAAGAAAATTTCCTCGAATTCAGAGATGATTCTGTTGACTATAATATACGAATACAAAACTAACTGCACAATCAAAGCTTTTCTATTTTTCCTCTGCTTATACTTTTTATGAGAGAGTAATTGTCTTCTATTATTGATTCATCATTATAAATTGAGCTCTGTTTACTACTGAACTTATATGGAGTAAAATCCTCTTGGTGAATTGCATAAATACCCACATTTTCGATAGCTCCTCGTCCAACGGGAAACTAAAAGCATGAACTTTTGAACCACCCACATAATTCCCCCGACAAAAGGGAACACAACACTTGAAAGGCATTGTTATTTCGCCGATCACAACACAAAATATTTCACAAAACAGTAATTTTTCCGCCAATTATTTCAAAAACATACGTGAATCACCGATGAATTAACACGAACTGACGCGTTAGTCGACAAGCGATAAAATAAAACACTGCCTTGTTGTATCGGTGGTAACGCCCTGACCCACCTGTTGTTCAGTTCTTGGTTCGGCGAACTCTTCCCGTTCGCCAGTCCCTCCTGGCTCCCCCTGATCGCCGTCCGCTTCTCCTGGTTCTCCTTGATGCCGGCCTCCAGGTCGTTCAGCTTGGTCCGCAGCCACTCCACCGTCAGGTTGTCGACGGTCAGCTGGTCGGGCAGCAGTTTTCCGGCGGAATCTTCCACCAGGCTCTCGTCGAAGGTGAATTTCACTGGTTCCGTTGGTGTTGTTCTGCGAGAAGGAAATTGTGAATGTTTTACGGAAATAGTCCTGTAATGTTCAGAGAACATCGTGAGAACCAAGGGAAATAAGGTAGGAATTGGTGTTCTTCTTAAGGACCCCGCACCGCATCAATGGGAAATTGGCTTTCGTTGAATTAACTCGAATTTTTGATATATTGTAGAACTCGTGGTGATGATCAAATGTCTCCATTGCACCAACGCTCTGAAATCGACAGTTAATATTATATAGGGTTATAAAGTTGACTTCCAAAATTTTAGATAGAAATTGAAGTGACTTTTCAATGACACTTAACAGGCAGGAAAAAAAGGTTTGTTGCTATGTAACGTTCCAAGTAATAATTTGAATCAAATTGGTTCTTAATTAAAATTGAAAATTACTTTGGGTGAACACACAATGATGGATTATGAGAACTTCACATGGAATTGGAACGAATTTAGAGAAAAAATTATGTTTGAGCTATTATTCTAAATACCAGTGTTTCAACTAGTCCAGTCGTCAAGATATCACCCTTCACTTTGATATTTTGTTTCAACGTGGATGGCCTATTAGAAGTATCTGGAGAACGAAAAGACAGAACATTCTGAAAATTGGAATGCTCTGATTATTGAACATTCTCTATATCCGTCTAAAATATTTTCATTGATACAGTGTTGCCACTTCTGTCAGAAACAACTAGCAACTTTGTTATTTCAAATGGAATACCCTGTGTTTTATTGCATTCTTAGATTCTTCCTGAAGAGCTGATTTCATTAATGTATCACACTTGAGGTCTAGTAGGAATTATTACAGTGATATAGGGTGTTCAAAATCGAGATTTTTCAATTTTAGGATTTTTTTGTGTCGAAACTATTAATTATCGATCAAAACGGCTTACATGTCCCTATCTTAACTTTTTATTCACTATCTACTGAAATTTGATTGGAAAAAATACAGGGTGCTTCAGAATTCTGATCTGATCTGATCTGAAATGTCAGTAAATAGTGAATCGAAAGTTAAGATAGGGACGTGTAAGCCGTTTTGATCGATAATGAATAGTTTCGACACAAAAAAATTCTAAAATTGAAAAATCTCGAGCTTGAACACCCTATATCTTTATAATCATTCCAGCTAGACCCCAAGTGTGATGCATTGATAGAATAATCTCTTCAAGAAGAATCTAAAAATGCAATAAAATACAGGGTGCTCCATTCAAAATAACGAAGTTGCTAGTTGTTTCTGATAGAAGTGGCAACACTGTATCGATGAAAATATTTTAGACGAATAGAGAATGTTCAATTATCAAAGCATCCCAATTTTCAGAGTGTTCTGTCTTTCCATTCTCCAGAAACTTCTAATAGGTCATCTACGGTGGATCACCCTGTATATGTTCTGGAACCTATATTTTATTTATGTTATTGCCTGGCTATATTGAAAATATGTGTGTGTTCTTTCACAATATGATGTGAAAAAGTAGAACCTATCCAAACTTTTGAAACGGGGGTCGGCAAAATATGTGCTGCTCAAAGCGCCATTTCTAACCCGGGCCTGGTTAGGCCATGGATGTTTGTGTACGTAGCAGATATATTTTGCTCAGAAGAGGGCAAATACTACAATTTGCAACTTTTTGAAAAAAGCCAATTTTTGAGGTCCTTAGGCAGCCATACTCTATAGAATTTTGGGCTAAAAACCGAAATTAATCGAAAAACTTCGAGCACCACACGTATCAGTTATTGCGCTCTGAATATACAAATTGCTATTAGTTATTTCAGATAATCAAATCAACCATATAGAACTTACTTGTGTTTATCAGTGAAATCATTGTATTCGTCACAGGGTTTGATATTTTCGAGACTGGTCTCTATCCTTTTCTGTATCTCTCTGAATTTCTCAGAGGTCAAATCCGAATTACTGGTAATTTCTTGGAAAATCTGTTTCCTGTAAGGAACAAAGAAATTAGTGACTACCAATATTCATTATATCTTTTATGAAAGAAATAATGTGCAAAATTTTATCACATGCCTAGAAACTATTATTTTTCAAGGCACAACCAAGGCCCTGTAAAGACAATTTATACTAATATTCCACGTGGCAAGTAAGATCAGAAGGATCATCTTAACTGCCAATGTGTAGACGAAGACCACTAAGGTATAGAGTCCAGAACATAAGGAGGTAAATACACTGATAATACGTGTTGAATACTAGCATAGTTTGTCTAATCAGTTCTGAACTTAGTATTTTTTTATACTAGTAGTTTGCAAGGGGTAATCCACTCGTCCAAAAATGTACATGGATTGGACAGAGAGGGAGAGGGAGGAGGGAGAGAGTGAGGGGGGGGAAGAGAGAGAGAGATGAATCATCGAAAAGCCAAGACAGGTGCGGGCCTTGGCTCGTGGGGCATCGGGGGACATGGAATACCCCCAATGAAAGGATGAGACTGGGAGCCCTGACCCGGAAAAAAATTGAAAATTAGGTGTAAAATGGCGATTATTGTCGGTCAAGATACGCCACGAAAGTGAACATAACTTGAACACTTCAATGTACATTTTTTAGTCAACAAGAAAAGATCTAGTCAATATTAAGTACTTCTCTCATAAGTAAATCTTGAATACATCTTTTTTGAAAAATCAAATGTAGTGCTAATCATGTTCCCTTCAGTCACTCTTGCTGATTAGTTTCTGTTTGAGCTTGTCCATAATGAAGGCGTTTATGATAATCTCATGGTTGACTTGTCGCAGGTGTTCTATACAAAGCAAGACATTGGATCTAATATCATTCTGAAAATTTGGATACTTGAATACCCGCACGTGATCTAACGATTGAAAATATTTACAGCGATGCAGCGTTGCCGTTTATACCAAAAAGTAGCATCAACTTGAATAATCACATTCTGAATCATTTTATCTGATAATTTCATATACCCATCTCTAACGATTTTCGAGTAAATAATTATTTTCCATATTCTTTTGTTCAGAAAGTAGTAGTAGTAGTTAATTCCCATTCCTTTAGAATTATTTTGTAGGTTAGCAGGAATTGCAGGTATGTTAATGTAATTTTTGGGGTTCGTAGAAAAATCATAGTATGTAACGCGTTTATAAACTCTTCTAGACACTCGTTTATTAAACACTCGCTCCGCTCTGCTCCGCTCGTGCTTAAACTACTCGTTACTAAAAGGACGTTTATAACACTTGTTACATAATATACTATTAATACGTCGGTGACCCGAGTTCAATGCCTGCGACGGTCGGCTTTTTTTTAATTCTGTTTTCTCAAGTGATTTTTCGAATAATATAATTTTAGGAAGAAGGTTCACTTGGCCGCTTAAGGTTAAATGGTTTTAAAAAAAGTTGTGTCTTTTTTTGCAGGAGGGATATTCTCCTTTTTTCCTGAGAAAAACTACTGTCTTTTTAGGAAGAAAGATAATTAAGGCCAAGAAAGGTTGGATGCTTCAAAAAAAGTAGTATTTTTTATGCAGGATGGATATTTTCCTTCCTTCCTGAAAAAAGGAATGTTGAGAAAAAGTGTTGACAACATTATTTTCTAGAGTAAAGTTTTCTTCCATGTGAATTCATGAAACTGCTATTTTCTTCTTTTCGGCTTATCCTATCAGTTCAAGAGCATTGAAGTACTTTCTTCTTCAAGTTGAAGAAAATCAGCATAATCCCAATAAACACAGCTACGTGGAAAAAACGTTGAATTGTTCAAGTAACGCCTCTATTATTCATCGTTGACAAAACGGCAAAATGTCGTTAGGCAATACGTTTTATTCTGGTTCTACAGTAACGTTACCTCTTCACGTTGATTCATCGTAACTAAGACGTTGCACACGTAGCACACGTAATGTGAATTCTACTGAAATATACCGTTTTATTTCAGTTCCGACGTAACCATACAAATCAACAGTTTCTCAACGTTTTCTATACGTTTTCAACCGATTTCAATATATAACGATACATCTTGGTTTCAAACTTGGTTTCAAAGTAACGTTGCTGAGATACGAATTCTGAACGTTGATGTTAACACTAACATTAAACGTGAAATTTCAGAATTCGAGTAACGTTGATCTTCTAGATTGAATCAACGATGATTTATCTTATCGTCGAATCGATATTACTAAAACGTTTCTAAAACATGAGGTGGAGTAACGTTTCCATTTTTACTACGGATCAATCTTTATTATTATTGCAAATTAATTAATGATAATGAAAATAACCAAAATACAAATACAAGATTCATAATGTGTATAGTCATACTAGAAACCAATGAAATCTAAATCAGATAGGTATAACTATTTGGTTTCGACTCGAGACTTGATGGCGTAATTCATTCGTTTCTTCGCAAACTTCAACTAGTCCTTGGTTGCATCTGCAATATGGACATCAGATGCTGCTCCAAACCTCCTTTCGACAGCAACTGCATAAATTATTCAATATAAATATTATGAAAAACGAAAAAAGAAATGTACCTACATACCATAAATTAGTTGGATCACCTTTGTGTCCTTGAGTGCAGCCACTTTTCCTTTGCCTTTTTATTTGTAAAGACGAACTAGCCCAGTGGTTCTCAAAATCCTCCATGTGTTTTCTTCTGGAGAATTGCCAGCAATCGACTTCAATTTTGTGATCTGAAATTTCGACTCATTTGTGATCGAAACAAACTCTGGCAAATCAATAATAATTTTTTATGAAATGTCTGCCTATTCTCATCATTTCGATCAATGTTCCAGAATATTGAGTACCGTTTTTCAACCATTTTCATCAACACATTCAAAACGTGATTCGTCTACCTTCCATACATGTTTTATCACCGTTATTAGAGGTGGTTAGACAAAACGACTCCAATAATGAGATGTTATTTTTCTCGACCGAGAATTTATAACTATGAAATATAATAATAACTCCATAATATAAAGTTGTGCAAATTGGACTCAGTACCTACTATATGAGAGTTTGTGAACCTTCCGACATGACAGAATCGAATAAGAAGGTATAGCTCTTGGTAGGTGTAGGTACTCATCAAGAGATGACCATTGGATATATTCGAAATTTGCACAATACATAGGTAGAATTCAATAATAAAGTGGGTACTTACCAATCTCATATCTTTTCACATCCACACATAACCTCTGAAGAATCACAATGAACTGTTAACCGTAATGGCGTCAGACAAACTGTGAGCATACTGGCGAGTGGCGGTGGCGGACTGCCGATAGGTCAGGTTCATTCAATACGAATACTTTTGAATAATGAATCCAACGAATCAAACACGTATTTTCAGAACGTTCAATAAACGTAAAAAAATTGTAATTGAAACGTGGTATAAAGGTTGCTCGAAGATATAGTTGTTATCCAATAATTCATTCAACGTATCGTACACGTAATTTCATAACGTTTAATGAACGTGAAGAAATAAGTGGACGAAACGTGGAATAACGGTTTCTGAAAGATATAGTTGCTATTGAATAATTCATTCAACGTATCATACACGTAAGTTCAAAATGTTTGATGAACGTGAAAAGTATCTATTAATTTCAAACTGGAACATTATAAGTTGCTCGAAGATGAAGTTTTTATTGAATAATTCATTGAACGGACCATTCACGTAATTTCATAACGTTCAATAAACGCGAAAAAAGTAGTGATTGAAACGGGGAATGAAGGTTGCTCAAAGATATATTTGCTATTGAAAAATTATTCAACGGGTCATACACGTAATCTCAAAACGTTTAATGAACGTAAAACAGAGTAGTGAATGAAACGTGTAATATAGGTTGCTTAAAAATATAGTTGTTATAGAATAATTGAATCAACAGACTTCATACGTGATTTCGAATCGTTGAATAAACGTGAAAAAAGTACGTAATTGAAACGTGAAAAAGAGGTTGATCAAAGATTCAGGTTGCTGAACAATATCATACTTGACGTTATTGTGATGTTCTATGAACCTCATTGAATATACGTTGAGAAATCACGATGATGACACGTTGCATAATGGTGGCTATATAGACGAGTTGAATCATCATCGTTTATTATGAGTTGAATCAACGTTTGGTTGAATTTACGTTACGAAAGTAACGTTGCGAAATTCAACGAGTAACGTTTAATCAACATCGACTACTATATATGAACGTATATCACACGTGTGTGTGTTTATTGGGATCCAGCAACATTGATATGACTGACACGGGATTACGCGAAGTCCCCACCACTATTTCATTTTTTGACGCCGCAGACGCAATTCTAGCGAGCAGTATATCTTTACCATGTGGCAATGTACGCTTCTTGCAGCAGCTGCTGATGTTCCAACAGTCCTGGAAGCAGAACGGTCCTGAAGTCCTTTTCGAATTCCACCGCCTCGCAGAGCAGCAGAACGTATTCGTTGTGCGTCAAGTGCAACTTTCTGCACGCTTTTTGGTATTTGTCGCGCACGTCGTCGAGTTTGCGCCCTCCTCGTCCAGCTGAAAGAAAAAAAATCTGATTGAATTACTGATCGGCAACGGCAAATACACCTTCCATCGAGTTCGGTGTGGAATTTTTCTTAGAAACATGGAATCTTCCTCTAAGAACTCTTGGAACAAATTTGCGGATGATATGTCCACCTTATATTGACCTCTGATTGTATGACCAACCTTAGGTCCAGTGTGGGTGAATGTGCTAGACAGGCTTTTGAATACAGCACTCGAAATAACTTAGTTCTCAATTTGTCGAAAACAGTGATGATGGTTTTTAGTACTAGAGACAATGATCAGTCCCTCTATGTTCATGAAAATGAACATACAATCAAACAGCTATCAACTACCCAATTGGAATCAATATTGATATGAGAAGTTGTCATGGTCTTCACATGTCGATTTTTTTTTCTGAAGAAGCTTTGCTACCACAACTTTATCATTTGGTAATTCAGAAGCTGTGTCGATAAACATATCTTTATTCTCTTTCAAGTTATGTAGTTGTGGTCTGGGGTAACTAGTCTCGATGGTAAAGGGTAACTGCAGTAGAGTTGAAGAAATGTTACTGGCATAAAAAAGAATTGTCAGAAGTATGCTTGGTAAACCTCCTCATTGAAAATTTTCAGATTGTTGGCATTATGCAAAACACTGAGAGACTACAAAAAACTGGTTATTTCCCAGCATAGGTTAACCTTGACTAATAACAGCTGTTACATCATGCCACTTAGGATTTATAATCACTTACTCATGAATGTACGACACATTGACAGTAGGTATTTACAAATTCAAAAGAGAGCTCAGGAGAATTCTTATAAAAAACATATTGTTACGTTATTCGGGTTCAGAAGCGAACACGACACTATTTATTTTCGAACTGATTTATTTGAACTAAAGAAACACTAATTTATATCTAACTTATAACTACTATTTATGTAAAACGATTTATATCACGCGGTATATAACTGTCTCCCTGACACTCGCTGCTTGACTGACTGACGGCAGTTGTTCGGCTGTTATATATATAAGATCACTTGGCAGGCTTGGGTTCGAGAACGTTCTCGAATGATCTTCCGTTTCCTTCTTTTTGTTGTAGAAGCTTCTTAGAACAGAACCTCTCTCTCTAATTGTTCCATCGATTGTTTTCAGAACATTCCAGAATCTTCTGTGACGTTATTTGTCACTGAGGCATATATTGAGTGTTCGGAAATAAGCTAGTGTATGTAGGAATCATTGGGAGGTTGAAGAACAATCTGGGATGCGTGATACAGGATGATCGTTGTACTCCTGTTTTACTGATGATGTTACTATAGCCCCTCTAAGGGGAATATCATTACAATATTTTATGTGCTCGGTTAGATGAATTCTTTGGTCACTCATTCTAGGTATAATTTTATTTATATTTTATATCCATATCTGTAGTTAGGAAAAGGTACTATCATTATTAGTTGTAGTTGTGTGTTGTAGTCTTGTGTCATGTATGTTTAATTCAAGGATTTGTTATGACAAACCCAATGTCCTGTAAAGGAGACCGATACGGTGAATAAATGAATTGTATTGAATTGAAATTGATCACCATGTAGTTCGAAAAATTGATGATGAATATTTCAATCATCATATAATCTGACCAATCACAAACAAGAGACAACGTGTGCTTATCGAAAAAACATTAGCTATCTTTCAATTCTGATTGGTCTGACAGCGTTCATGTTTTCAACGATGTAGACAGCGAATCAAAGTCTGGATGTAACCATGGATAGCGAGGCAAAGTCTGTCAGTTTGGCAGAAAATGATTATGGCTGTTCTTGTCAGAATGAATCACTCATTAATAATAAATGTTCTTTATGCTTCGTGAACGTGAAATAGTCTAGCGAAATACCAAACTGTTCTAAATACCTTCACAAAATCTTCAGTTTCATAAAGAATACAAAAGTTACGCATATCAATATGTTAGGTTAATTAATTATACAAGAATTCTTAGAATTGCGTAGTTTGCTTTTCTAATACAAAAAAAAACATCAGAAAACTGATAACATCATAAGTTCTGAATATTCGTGATAATCCTGTCTTTCATTGTTAACTTAATTATTGTGTTGCGGTACAGCACGACCACTCGTCCTGACGGACTCGCAGTCGTGTTGCTCGGCAACACAATTTCGTGAACAATGAAGCAACAGAATTATCACGAATATTCAGAACTAATGATAACATCCGTCAACTTTCAGAGTTGTCTGATGTTTTTTTTTATTGGAAAAAAGAACTACGCAATTCTTAGAATTCTTGTATAATAAACTAACCTAAAACATTGATATGCGTAACTTTTGTATTCTTTATGGAACTGAAGATTTGATATTACCAGATAGAAGACTAGCTGATCCTTCATTCCGAAAAATATCCGCCTTATATACAGTGTGTTACAATTTCGTTAATGCCACCTCCTGTAATTTCGTATTCTTTAGACGATTTGAGAATTTCTTCTTCTCATAATATACTACTCAAAATTATCTACTTCGTCGAGCAAAAAAAATTATCAAACACAATTTCTTGGCCTACTGCGACCACAAAAACTTCAGCAAAGTTGAAGAATACGGATTAGACATTATTTTACAAAAATTTATATCATGACAATCGATTCGGACTAGTCACAAATACTCATATACCAAATTTGAAAAAAATATCTCATGAAAGGTGTTTTTTTATCAACGTTACAATTTTTGGATAATTGCATTTTTCGAGTCACCGTGTATAATAATTCTTATAAGAATTTTAATGATACCAGGGGTAGTCAGGGGCTCGATCAGGGGGTCAGGATTAGATCATCTGTCTACAGAGTGAGATAAATGACGTAAAATCACTAGAAGTTGAAGTTTTTTTTATCAAGAAATAAAAAGAAGAAAAACGAAATAATACCATCAATCAAAAAATAGAATCCAAAATTTTGAAAAAAAGAAAAACTTGAACAGCAACCATTCCTAACAAGTTCAGATTTTTGTATTCTCGATCAAATCTCCTTCATTCTCTGTACACTTTACATATTTCTTTCGAACATTATTTTCAAACTCTCCTCAGTTTTTCTAGTGGTACCTTCTTTGCAAACTGTTATTAGTCATCGCCGCAACTCTCCTCTACTTCTTAGCCTGAATTTTTCACTCTGTAGCCAGATGATCTAATCCTGACTATGGTCAGGTCTGGTACAATTCAAATTCTTGAAAGAATTATTATGCACGATGACTTGAAAACTGCAAATATTCAAAAATTGTAACGTTGATAGGAAACACCCATTATGAGTTATTGCTTTGAAAATTGAATAGGTATTTGTGGCTAGTCCAAATCGATAACCATCATCAATATTTTTGAAAAAACTGCCTAATCCGTTTTCTTTAATTTTGCTGGAGTTTTTGTGATCGCTGTAGGCTAAGAAATTGTGATTGTTAATTTTTGTTTGCTCGACAGAGTAAGTAATTCTGAGTACCTAGTATATTATGAGAACAAAAAATTCTCAAATTGTCTTAAGAATACGAAAGGAAAGATGTCAAATAACTTCCTGAACACGATTAGATAGTTGTCTGATTTTGTAGCATCCATTCCAACCCTCTTTCACCCTCATATCGATATAATTTAAATTCCAACTTAGGGGTCAGGAACACATTTTTGGAACCATTTTTGTGAAATAGCTTCCTGAATTGAATTATATTGTTAAGAGGGTGAAGGAGGGGTGAAATCGATGCTACACAATCAGACAACTATCAGATCGTATTCAGGCGAGGGGTAAATCTCCAGGAAAAATGTGTACACCACACTTTCAATGAACAAAGACTTCCAAAGACTTCCAATGACTCCCAAATACTTCCAAAGACATCCAAAGACTTCCAAAAAATTCCAAAGACATCCGAAGATTTGAAGACTTCAAATGACTTGACTCAGTTACTACCAAAGACTTTGAGCCAATATCAATGACTTCCATGGATTTTCGAAGCCTTCTATTAATCGATTGAAGCACATTAAACAATTCAGCTAGTTCACTAAATGTTCATATTAGTAGTTCAGTTTCAACTATGTTCGCTTCTACAGATATATTATGATAGTACAGTTTTCTGTTAATAATATCTCAAAGATTGACTATACCAGTATACGAAATATATGTAGGTCCAGATGCTTACGTAATTATATTAATTTGGTAAGTTTTCTGTTCGTGCGAGAACATTTCAATATAAAAAAGGATAATGTTTAATTATTTCCTTAGAATTTCAAAAACTGTCAATGACTACCAAAGACATCCAAAGACTTCCAAAGAATTCCAAAGAATTCCAAAGAATTTCAAAGAATTCCAAAGAATTCCAAAGAATTCCAAAGAATTCCAAAGAATTCCAAAGAATTCCGAAGAATTCCAAAGAATTCCAAAGAATTCCAAAGAATTCCGGAGAATTCCAAAGTATTCCAAAGACTTGCAAAGACTTCCAAAGACTTCAAAATGACTCCCAAAGACTTCCAAAGAATTCCAAAGACTTTCAACGGAGTGTACATCAGACTTCCAAGGAGATTTAGCCCTCGTATTCAGGAAGCTATTTTACGTCTGTTTTTTAAGATAAAATTCCTCCAAAAATTCTTTCTAAAGCTCTAAGTTGGAATTTGTATTAAATTGATAAGAGGGGGAAAGAGGGGTGAAATGGATGCTACAAAATCAGACAAGTATCTGATTGTATTCAGGAAGCTTTTTGACATCTGTTTCAAGAGAAAAATCTTTCAAAAATTCGTTCCAAAGCTCTAAGTTGGAATTTAAATTATATTGATAAGAGGGTGAGAGAGGGGTGGAATGGATGCAACAAAATAAAACAACTATTTGATCGTGTTCAGGAAGCTCTTTGACATCTTTGTCAAGAAAAAACTATTGCAATAATCAATTCCTGACCTCTTAGTTGAAATTTGAATTATATTGATGAGAGGGTGGAAATGGGGTAGAATGGATGCTACAAAATCACACTATCTGATCTTGTTGAATGAAATGTTTTCTATTCATTATAGCAGATTAAATCGTGAAATGAATAATATTTTCATTTCTAATTCGATTTGAAATAGTTATTCAACCAACTAGTGTATTAATGAGGGCGATTAATGATCGAGATATTTTAACGTGCGAGCGAAGCGAGCGCGTTAATGTTCGATATCATTATTCGCCCTTTAATATACGAGTTGGTTACAAAATTTTGTAGTCGACCATATTTTTCATTACTCCTGCAATGAAGAAAACTTGGTTAGCGAATTCATCATTCATCCGGAAACGAGTCCGGAAACTACTAAGAATCACCCAGTAGCCTTGTTACTGACATTAGTGACATTTGACATCTGTTGAAATGATCAACATAGAAAATAAATTCCTTGTGTTAGAAAACAGAGATTAAAATCGTTTCAGAAACTTGAAAAGGCTTCGATAAAATCTATATTTTTGATTAAAATGCAGATTCCGTAAGTTATAGCATAAACAATGAATGCACGCGGTTTATATTTGGTTGCCTATAAAACAATCGTGCATTAATAGACAAATTGATCAATAATAGGGGTCATTAATAAACGATTTCATAAACATTAAACTTACTCGTTATTACGAGGTCGACGGAAAAGGTACCTACGTTTTATAGCTAGTGGTGGAATAGTTATTTAACCAACTAGTGTATTAATGAGGGCGATTAATGATCGAGATATTTTAACGTGCGAGCGAAGCGAGCGCGTTAATGTGCGAGATCCTTAATCGCCTTTTAATACACAAGTTGGTTACAAAATTTTTCCGTCGACTATATTTCTCATTTCTCCTGCAATGAAGAAAACTTGGTTCGCGAATTCATCATCCATCCGGAAACTGCTAAGAATCACCCAGTAGCCTTGTTACTGACATTAGTGATATTCGACATTATTTGTGGAAATGATCAACATAGGAAATAAATTCCTTATGTTAGAAAACAGGGATTAAAATCGTGTCAGAAAAGGCGAACCCGTTAACGGAAACTCGTCGATGAAATCCATATTTTTGATTTAAATGCAGATTCCGTAAGTTATAGCATAAACAATGAATGCACGCGGTGTATGTTTGGTTGCCTAAAACAATCGTGCATTAATAGACAAATCGTTCATTAATAGGGGTCATTAATGAAAGATTTCATATACATTAAACTTAGTCGTTAATACGAGGTCGACGGGAAAAGTATATTATTAGGTATGTAAACTTTAGTAATCGGTTTAGTTAGTCCAGTCAGCATACCAATAAGACAAATAATATAATTCTATCATTATTACTCACAGAGTGGTAATGAAACTAAGAAATGTTTCCACTAGAAAACTTGATCACTTTTCCTTGACAGAGCAGCTGTAACAGTTCCTATACCATACTACGCAACAAACTAAATCTAATTTCCTGAATTTACCTCTTATCATATACCTACCGACGCTGATGCTATACTACCTACACGCCAAGTTCTATTTTTAAGAAAAAACAGCGAGAACTTTCTTGAAAAAATGCAAGGCGGATGCGGGCCTCGTCATGATTTTCTCTTACGTAGACGCGGTACTGATGATAGAATAATATACTGGAAATCTGAATGGAAAAGCGTACAATCACAGTTTATGAAATGCGGATTTTTTCATTCGTTAGGTAGAACCAGGAGCGGATCCAGGGGGGGCATGAGGGTCATGGCCCCTTCCTCGCGAACCTCATGATGTAATGGGTGTTTCTCAATAGTGGCTCACCCCTTCAACTTTTTTGTTTCTACAGATGAACACATGACATTCGCTGTGTGAGTATAGTACATATATAATATGCGTTATTTGAATTATTCAATTGCTTTTGTCACTTTCGGTTTGACCGGAATTAGCCCTTATTTTCTTATTTTAAATGGGACACTCGGCATATTTTCACTTATTTCGATAGAGAATAACATTGTGCGTACAGCGACACCATACTTGCAACTTTAAGACATTTATCATCCTGAAATTTAAATTTTCAATCTAGAGTGCCATGAATGAGTTAAAACAATTGATTTTGAACCAAGTTGCCAAGGAAAAATATTTTCAATCAAATTTTACTTCCCATTTGTTTCACAGGTTGATTAAAAATTCTCTATACAGCGTGTCTCACTTTAAACGGCCCCCCCTCTATATCTCAGTTATTAGTCATGCGAATCCAACCAAATTTGGTGTGGTATGAATAACCATCAATATGATCAGTCTTACAGAGATGCACATTATTTTGGACAGTGCCGTGCGTTTTTATTGAACTAAAAATGGGTCGATTTTTCATAAAATCATATTAGGCATTTTTTACAGGAAATCTAACCTCATATTATTGTTCCTCATGCTTTCGAACCTCCATATGCAAAAAAAACACCAAATTCCGAATTAACAGGATTGGCTTCATTTTTGTCATTTTCAGTCTCGAATAGTGACTTCAAATCAACTACGAATTTTAGAACGTTCAATGGCTCCGGTAGATGGAAAATCATGATTTGGAAGGAAAAACGAGTTATACTTTTTTATGTTGAACTCACCGTTTCCGAGTAAATAATTATTACGTTCGCTAAAATGCTGTTTAGAGGTGCCTGTTTTTCTGAAACCCTTGATAGGCATCTCATGAAAATCCACGTATGTGGTTTGAAACCATGAATAACAATATAATTAGGTCAGTTTTCCTGTGAAACAATGCCTAATATGATTTAATAATAAACTGACCCCTATTCATTCCAATAAAAATGCACGGCACTGACTGAAATGATGTTTCTCTCTGAAGAACTGGTCATATTGATGATAATTATTCATACCGATACAAATTTGGTGAAGATCGCACAGCTGAGATATAGAGGGGGGCCGTTTGAAATGAGACACGCTGTATATCGTAATAATTATATGATGTTAACTCAATTTTTTCAAATATAACAAGGGCGGCTCATAACCATATTTGAGGAGAGTATCCATGGCCTAACTAGGATTCGAACCTATGTCTCGGTGGGAGTCCCCATACGAACTCAACGCATTCACGCTCTCGACCACCGAGCCGCGTTGATACCACATAATCGATATTTTGAATCAATATCCAGTATCATAATCACTCCAGATGGAAAATTGAAAAATGAAAATTTCAGAACGATAAATGTCACAAAGTGGCAAATGGGGTGTCAGCGTACTCACAATGTAATTCTTTCTTTATTGAAATAAGTAACATTATACCGGGTGTCCCCTTTAATATAAGAAAATAAGGGTAATTTCCGGATAAACCGGAAGTGACAGAAAACAATTGAATACGCCTATCAATGAATGAGTGAGTCACTCTTGAGAAACATCTGGTAGGTACAGGGTATTCACGTATATTTTGAACCCCCACGTATGTATTTTTTTTTTTCAAGGACCGTTTTTTTATATTTTTTCCCGTACATTTTATATCTTATGCCAAGAGAAAAACAGTTTAACATCTCGAAAAATACTTATGGGCAACATTTATTATTTTTTCAATAGGACACCCTGTATTTTATTGCATTAAGATTCTCCCTGGTGAGCTGATTTCATCGATCTATCACAATTGGGGTCTAGTTGAAATAATAACAGAGATAAAGGGTGGGAAAAATTGAGATTTTTTCAATTTTAGGAATTTTTTGTGTCGAAACCATATACGTATTAATAAACAATACGGATCATAACGGGTGCCAGGATGAAGCCAGAAATATGAAACAAATGAATATCCATAAGGATTTGGTGGCATGATACGCATGCGCCATGCGCTATTATAGTAGTCATCAAAGACATGCGTTTCGGTGGACAATGACGTTTACTAGCCTTTCAATCAAAGCAGTATGTGTCTGATCGTTTCGAAACTTTTCCTTATGGATAGTCATTTGTCTTCAAATCGGCTTCATGTTTCGCTATGGAAACAGATAGAGATTATCCGTATTGATTATTAATACGTATATGGTCGAAACTATCCATTATTGGTCAAAACGATTTTCATGCCCCAATCTTAACTTTTGAGTATTATCTACTGACATTTGATTGAAACGAATACAGGGTGGTGAAAAATCTAAAATTCTGATGACCTTGTATTTGTTTCAATCAAATGTCAGTAGATAGTCGATCAAAAGTTAAGATAGGGACTTGAAAACAGTTTTGGCCAATAAACTGTTTTTTCTATCTCTATCGCAGCCTTGCAGCTATGGTCCGAGCGAGCATAAGTGGGTCACCTTGTATATTAAGGGTGATTGTCATAATAAGTTTTGTATCATCTGTTTTTATTTCCGAAAAATAAATATTTTCTCCGTGAAGTTGAATTATTATAATTATCTATCCCACAAATATCAAAGGTACGGACCACTAATAGATGTAGTGTGACGTGTGACCTGTGTGACACTTGTATATGACCTGTTAGTGATTTTCAAGGCGATGTCACATTTCATGTCAAAATGACGTCACAGTGAGTGATGTTCCTTGAGTCGGTAACATGTTTGTGACTTCAAATTCGATATTATTATCGCATGTCACAAAGAGATGTCGCGTATACATCATTTATACATCTAATGGGTGGCTGGGTTATGCCTACCTTACATGGGTTATTGGAAGTATTTTTTTTATCAACGAAAGGAAAATGGAGAATACGAGAGAATGAACGAACATGAATTTCGTATGAAGTATACTCACATTTTACATAATGCTCCTCAAATTTACACCGCATCAATTTGTACAGCTCCAAATATTTCTGGTACTCGGTTTTCTTCCTATTCACCTCGTCGGATAACTGTAAAAAAGACAAAAATCTCATTATGAAATATGAACTGTATACAGGGTGGCGTGCGAAAAACGTTCATGTTTCTCGCGGGCTCAGCCGCTTCAATAAAGTGGTTCAAGATCGTGTTTTTTGATATCCCTATAGACCTATATTTGTCGATCGACCGTGTGCATCCTGCCTCCCGTATGGTTTATAATCGCTCCCCGTGGCGGAATCCCGATGGAAGTCGAATTCTCACGTGGATTAATGCCTTCCAGGATACTGAAAGTGTGTCTAGAAAAAGAAGAGGCCCCAGAATATCTTTACTTCAGAAGACATCAATACCCAATTCTTACGATGCCCTATTCCCACCATAACCAACTCTTACCCTTTTCAATATATATGTATACCTAATTTTTACCACGCCTTACTTCCGCAGATTCTGACAATTCTCACTAGGCCCATTTTCTTCGGATTCTCGCCATTCCCACTGAGGATCTATGAATGTGGGTATAGTGAGAATCAGCGGAAGGTGGGCAAGGTAAGAACTGGGTATGGTGAGAATTGGGTACGATGAGAATTTAATGAAAATTCGGATATTTTTTCAACCTGCTGGAAAACAGCTAGATTCCAACCAATCCCCAAAAAAGAAAAAACCGCCCAGCACCTAAAGGTGTATCGCGTTGTTGAAAGTTATTTCCGAAATTATGAAGGAAACTATCAACATTGAGCTCAAAAACATCGGGAAAGCTTATGGATCATGAATGATAGACAATATGGCTTTCACACCAGCGGAAATCAATTCAATATATCCAGCTTCATGATATATAGTTTCAGTTATATTAAAGAGAGATGTTACTGAGGAGGGTTTGATACCAGAAATGAGTTCGTTCGAATAAAGTCATATAACCTGTTTGTGAGAGATAATATTCCCATATCACTGATACTGACTGATACGAATGATTTTTGGAAGTTTCGAGCTCATGAAGATAAGAGTTTATACAAGTATACTTCTCCTATACATTTCAATTTTCATTTCGAGTTTTCACACCCTATATTTCTGTAATTGTCACTGTTAGACCCCAAGTGTTATAGGTCAATGAAACCAGCACTTCCGGGAGAATCTGAGAATGAAATATTACACAGGGTGTCCTATTTAAAAAATCAGAGTTGTTGCTACTTTTCAATATTAGCGGCAACGTCGCAGCACTGATAATATTTCAGGTCGATAGAACACAACTAATTAACCAAGGAATCGTATTTTCAGAATAATCCCAAGATTCCCAAGTTACGTTCTCAGAAACGTCTAATGTGCCTACCACCGTGAATCAGCCTGTATACAAATGTATTCTGCGAGGTATTCTGTATGCTAAGAATCCGAATTAGAATCATTTACCGAATTCCCTGAAAACATAGATTTTCATAAATATTCAACAAGAGATGGTAAACAATTTTGTGTCCCTAAACATTCAACCACCCTATATGAGCAGTCCACAGTATAATTGGAATGAAATTCTTCAACCATCTCCCACTATCCATAAAAACCTTGAATGACCAAAATCTTTTTAAAAGGGCCCTCTAGAAGATTTAAATTGAGAAAGTGCGTGTATACATTTTTTTCCACCACTAGCTATGAAACCTACGAGGAAACCCACCATTGTTTACTCCTTTTAGTAGTAGTAAAGTGTGTTTTTACTACCAAGGTAGTTTTCGCCATTTTATGAACCATTAGTAGTGAAAAAAATGTAATATACATCTTGTTAGTAATAGTTATTTATGTATCAAGGGCGTAAAGTAGGCGTTTATGGCCTGTGGCGTGAATAATGGCCCGATGGCGCTAGCATATTTTATGACGATTTCATGAGGCAAAGCATTAGTATTGATTGTAAGCTCATGCTCAATAATTATCCCATTTTGGAATTTTTTTTCCATGAATTACCAAGAAGTACCATGAATTACCAAGAAGTATAATGAATTACCAAGAAGTATCATGAAGTACCATGAATTATCATGAACTCGATCATTATAGTTATTTATGTATTAAGGGAATTATGAGGGCCTTAATTACCGATGGCAAAGTTTGCGTCCCGAGGGCCTCTGGCCCGAGGGACAGCAATTGCCTGAGGTTATTAAGGCTCAGTAATTCCCGTGATACATAGATAATTTTATTTCTGACTGATTTCATTCATTAGATACCTTCCCGATTGGAAGCTAGACATGTTTTTCCGTATAGTTTCAATGTCATCAGAACGTCAGATGATGATCTTGACTACCGCGAATATAGGAGATTCCTTATTGCTATACGTTATTGCATGGTTGTTGCTATGCATTTCTTGTTTAATATCAGCTAGAGGGAATTATAGCATCTATAACATCCCAAGGGAGTTATGACCCTCATTATAGATATCGTAACTATGACGATATAAGCTTATAATGTCACTGTCAGAAATAAATTACTTTATGAATTACAAGAAGTCCAAGAACTACTGATGAATTCTCGTGGAACTTCAGTGAAATCCATGATTACCACAGAAACGTGAAGTCTGGTGTACAAAATATTATCAGCGGTTCGCCCCTCGGCCATGGATGTTTGTATTTGTATGCTCACCTAACCTAGCACAAGTTTCGACTTATGGGGCGTTTGGTCCCAGTGCTGGGACCAACGAGGTAATGCAATTGCAAAAAAAAATTGTAACAGATAAATTCAGTAATCAAGAGAAACGTAATGTTCATGGATGATTTACATACAAAAATTATCGCACGAATATTGGAATCATCGTGATAGTCGATCCCTAGAAGAGATTCATTCTCCAAAATCTTACAATATGCATACCCAGTATACAGTATATATATACCTATACCTAATTCTGACTGGAGTTCCCAAATGTACTTGACAGTTGACACTGCTGTTTTGACGATTTTTTGATATACTTGACCCTGCTCTTTTGACGTTTTTTGATATACAAAAAACGTCAAAACAGCAGTGTCAATAGTACATTTAGGAACTCTAATTCTGACGTTGTCAAGCAAGCTGATGGTTGTTGTAAAGGTGGATATATGTATGGTGAAATAGCTCCCTCTTACAAAACTCTAGAAATTTTTGTAGACCTCTGGCCTACTCTTGATTATGTCGAATTCTATCACCGTAGTAAGGCCGCGCAAAACTAACGCTAGATGGCGCTGTTCCCGAAGTGATCTTGCTACAGAATGGTTGTTTTGTTGTTTACATTTACGTATATTAATTCGTAATTTAAAAACATTGAGAAAAAGTGGTTGATTTAATGAAAAAGACGTGAAATTTCCATTAAATCTGTGAAGTATATGTGGCACGATGTTCCCTACGCCATCTACAGTCAATCCGGTGCGGCCTTGCTACGGTGTTTCGCGGTCTACACGTTTTGGAAAAAAACAATTGACAAGTGGTTACACCAGTCTATTTTCATCATGGTTGTTGTCTATAGCAGTGATAGCAAAATACATCCAAGAAACAAGCTGAATTGTCATTCTTTGACTGAAAAAGAAAAATTAGTGATACATAATAATAATAGCGAGACTATGGAATCGGATTCTATGATAAACCGCTGGATATATTAGAATCTAGGAAAATGATTATATATAGGTTTTTCATAAATTGATATGTGGATATAGGGAAACAGAGAACAGCGGGCGGTTGAGTGCACTTTACGGGGCCCGTGGGCCATAATGAGCCCGCGGTAAAGTGCAACTTAACGCCCGCAAAACTGGGCGGTAACGTGCACTTGACGGCCCGCTAGTGCATAATAGTTATTTATGTATCAAGGGCGTAAAATAGGCTTTTATGGACCGCAGCGTGTAAGTAAGAGACCGAGCGATAGCGAGGACTATTAACACGCCTAGGTCCATAAAAGCTAGTTACGCCCGAAATACATACAATATTTTATGCACGACCTGTATATATTTGATATATCATGTAGGTATCTCTTCACCCCTCAAGCACAATAAAAATACATCACGGTTGCAGTGAGACTGTATTGTATCCATATCGCAAATACAATTAATCAAGAAGTATGGAATCAACGTTACCATGGCAACTCAGTCAATTTTTCGAAATAGGAATTGATAAGCCAGTAGCCATATTTACTGTCAATTTGTGTAATCATACATAATTCATTAGTGATTTTAAAATGAATTCTAGTGATGAAGAAAGTGTGAATTGGGTAATTTTGCACTTATCATGCGATGGGTTTTTTTTCGAAAATTTTTGTTGGTACTTACGTATTTTTGTCTGAAAAACACGAATTTGATAATGAAAATGTGAACAAACCATTATTTATTGAGATATTTCACTATAAAGTTTCAAATTTCACCTTCTTCTCCGCCTGTCTTTGGGGCGCATTTAGAACAATTTGCCCTTCTTTTCCCATCATTGGACAATTTATATATATCACACAATGTTGGACACATATTTTTTATTATATGAGTCAACTAGAAATATGATTTTCTTGTGATTTATCCATGTTTAGTGAAAAGAAGGAAGAATATCATTTGAAATAATGGCGTGTGTGATGTCATTCCAAAGCAATCTATTGTCATTTGACATCTCCTATTTGGATTATCCTGTATGATCTAAGGGATTACCCATCGATTAAATGGCGGTCATCTGGTATGCTTGCTCACTAAATAGGAAAAACTCACCATAAAAATCATATTTCCTGTTGAATTTTCTAGCTTAAAATGTGTCATTGAAGTACATCATGAGTATATGAAGTGTCCAATGACAAAATAAAAAGAGCAAGTACCTGTAAATGCATCCAACACAAGGGGGAAAATAAGGCAAAATTTCGAACTTTTTCTTGAAATATCTCGATATATAGTGGTTTGTTCACATTTTCAATATCAAATTCGTGTTTTTCAGACAAAAATACGTAAGTACCAAAAAAAATTTTCGAAAAAAAACCCATCGCATGATAAGTGCAAAATTACCGTGA